ATTTTTCAGTTTTGTTCAGCCTTTTAGTTGTTACAATGGAGTGGTGAATTCCAAGCCTGGCTAGAAACTGAAGGTCTTACATTTTATCAGGGTTTATCTGCTTTCTATGTTGAGAATAGTCTGTGGAGATAAGAGAGGAGGCAGAAGAAGAGTGTTTTGCAATAATCTAGGTGAGAAATGTGCTGTCTTGGACTAGGGAATGGTAGTTGGAGAGATAAATATTTGTATTGTGGATGTTTGAGTGGCATAGAGCCAATCAGATTTGCTGACAGATTAAATGCTAGGGTGAGAAAGTGAGGTGTCAGGAGTGACTCCATGGTATTTGACTTGAGCAAATTGGAAGGATAGAGTTACCCTTAATTGAAATGAGTAAGACTGGAGCAGAAGCAGGTTTCAAGAAGCTTGGTTTTGGATGTGTTGATTTTGAGATGATTGTTAGGTTTCCAAGGAGATATGTTGAATAGGCAGGGTATGTTTGTCTTAGGGTTCAGGAAGAGATGCAGGCTAGAGAGAGCAATTTGGGAGTCTTCAACATTTAGCTTATATTCAGAGTCATGAGGTAGGATGAGGTATCCAAAGGAGTAAGTATACATTGCAAAACAGAAGAGAGACAAGGGTACTCCAAAATTAAGAGGCCAGGGCATTGAGGCAGACTAGCAAAGGAGCCTGAGAGGGAGCAGCCGTGACAAAAGAGCAAAACCAAGAGAATATAGTATCTTGTAAATGTCTCCATGAGGACGGAGTGATCAGGTGCTTTGATAGGCCAAGTAGAAAGAGAGCTGAGGATTGACTGTTGGATTTAGCAAAGAGAGTTAATTGCTGACTTTAACCAACCATTTTGATGGAGTGGTAAGGGTGAAAGCCTGATTAACAGTGGGTTCTAGGGAGGCCAAAGGAGAGGAATTGGAAACCATGGGTATATGCACCTCTGGGGGAGTTTTGTGGTAAAGGGAAAGGTAGAAATGAAGGTAGTGGATGGAAGGAGACTTGAATTCAAGAGTCTTGTTTTCTTTAATGGGAGAAGTAACAATACATTTTGTATGCTGAAAGGAAAAATATAGTTAAGCAAGCAAACAAACCTTGTCCTACTGGTTCTATTTTTCTTTTCTTTTTTTTTTTTCAAAGCAGAGTCTCTCTCTGTCACCCAGGCTGCAGTGCAGTGGCGTGATCATAGCTCACTGCAACTTTGAACTCTTGGGCTCAAGAGAACCTCCCACTTCAGCCTGCTCAGTGGCTAGGACTCCAGACACACACAACCAAACCCAGCTAATTTTTTAAACAAAATTTTTATAGGCATGAGGTCTTGCTATCTTGCCAGGCTGGTTTCCAACTCCTGGCCTCAAAGGATTCTCCTGCCTCAGCCTCCTGAGTAGCTGGGACTATGGGTTTGTGCCACCACACCCGGCTACTTTTTATATTTTTTGTAGAGACAGAGCCTCGCTTGTGCTCAGGATGGTTTCAAACTCATGGCTTCAAGTGATCCTCCCACCTATGCCTCCCAAAGTGCTGGGGTTACAGATGTGAGCCTCCACACCCGTTCTACATTTAGATTTTCAGTCTAATTGGAGTTTGTTCTTATGTATGGGATTAGGTATAGATCTAATTTTATCTTTTCCCAAATGACTTTTCCAGATGACCCAGTTGTCTATGCATCATTTACTTCAAAAATTATATTTTAGCTCAGTAATTTGGGATCCCACCCTATCATCTGTACTTGTGTCAGTAGATACCACTCTTTTAATTATGGGGACTTTATAATTTGTTTTCAAGTCTGGTAGGACCAGTAGTCATTGATTTTCTTTTTTGGTATTTTTTTTAATGACTATTTTTACATGTTTGTTTTTCCATGTAACTTTAGTTATCACCATGTCTCTTTTTAAAAAGTTGGTATTTTTAGTGTGATTGTTTTAAATTTATAAATTAACTTAGGTAGAACTGACATCCTTATAATGGTGAGTCATTCTATCCAAGAATGTGTGTCTACTTTTTTAAGTCTACTTTTATGTAGAAGTATTTAAAATTTTTCTTTGTAGAGATTTATACATTTCTTAAGTTTATTTGTAAGTATTAAATCTTCTATATTGCTATTGTGAAAGGGGTTTTCTCTGCCATGGTGCCCTTTAATGTTTTATTGTTTGTTCATTTGGAGGCTATTGATATTTTTGTGTTAATTCTATATCCTTCTATTTTATTGAATTTTTTTTCTTTCTTTTTTGGAGATGGGGTCTTGCTCTTGCTCTGTCATCTAAACTGGAGTGCAGTGGTGTGATCATAGCTCACTGAAACCTCAAAATCCTGGGCTCAGGCTGGGCGCGGTGGCTCACGCCTGTAATCCTAGCACTCTGGGAGGCCGAGGTGGGTGGATGCTCGAGGTCAGGAGTTCGAAACGCGCCTGAGCAAGAGCGAGACCCCGTCTCTACTATAAATAGAAAGAAATTAATTGGCCAACTAATACATATATAGAAAAAATTAGCCGGGCATGGTGGCGCATGCCTGTAGTCCCAGCTACTCGGGAGGCTGAGGCAGAAGGATCGCCTGAGCCCAGGAGATTGAGGTTGCTGTGAGCTAGGCTGACGCCACGGCACTCACTCTAGCCTGGGCAACAAAGCGAGACTCTGTCTCAAAAAAAAAAAAAAATCCTGGGCTCAGGTGATCCTTTTGCCCCAGCCACCTGAGTATCGGGGACTAAAGGCATGTGCCCAGGTGATTTTTTAATTCTTTTGTAGAGACAGGATCTCCTTATGTTGCCTAGGCTGGTCTTGAACTCCTGGCCTCAAGTGATCTTCCCATCTTAGCCTCCCAAAGTACTAGAATTACAGGCATGAGCCACCATGCCCAGCCTGAGGTTTTTTTGTTTGTTTTTCTAGATAGTTTTTGTCATAGATTCTGTAGGGTTTTTATAGTATATTATCTGTCATATCATGTACAATAGAAATAGTTTTACTACTTCTTTACCATCTTTGGCCTCTGATTGATTTCTGTTTTCTAGTTACATTGACTAATACTTCTAGTGTTCAATAGTAACAGAGATAGTGGGCATTCTTGCCTTGGTCCTGATCTTAGTAGATATGCTTCTAGTGTTTCACATTTCCCTGTGTTACCTGCCAACCTTTTATTTCTTAGCCTGCTAAATGATGGCTAAATCCATTAAAAGCAATTACAGTAGTTATGTCAAAGCACACAACTTTCTCTTCAATCCAGCTGTAAAGTTTCCATTACAAAACAATGCTCTACAATGTCAATTGAATGTAAACATGGTGTTATGTGTCCAAAGTGCTTTATCTTGTTATGTTGATGAATTCCTATAATCTTGGTTGAAAAGATAACCTTGATACATTTAAAACTTTTTTTAAATAAGAAAATATGTTTAAAGTGAAATAATTCCTAGCTTAAAAATCTTTCCTTACTGGCATTCTCTTTCAGCTAAAAGCAAAAGAAGTGGACTGTTCAATTTAGGAGATATGTGTATATCTACCCCTTGAACCCCTGTGGGCTGTAGTCTATGATGATGTTTTAGAATATTTAATGAACATTTAATAGACATTCAGGTCTACTAACAGGCAACACCACTGAAACATATCACTCAGCTACTTTTGCTTTATGGAAGCTGATTTTCTATAAAATGATTAGCATAAAGGTTGAGTGCAGTCTGGATTTAGCTGCTCAGGCTTCACATCACACAGTCTCTCTGTGCTTTGGTTTTATCACCTGTGAAATGCAGATACTGGTGACATCTACTTTGCAAGATTGTTGTTGCAATTAAATTGTGATAACATAGCTCAAATGAAAATAATAGTGCCTGGTTTGTAATAAAAAAAGCTAACACAAGTAGCACTTACTACATTATTCTTATTCACTTACTTTATAGTATCATAAGCAAAAGTATTAATAATTTGAGAGGGCAGTATGTGAAATATTTAAAAAAGATTTTCATCAATATCAATATCTATTAACTGTTGTATTGACTAGATAATGCTCATTCCCAGGCTCATTAGTCCAAGTTTTCTTGGGGCATTTAAATGTGCAGTTTGTTAAAAAGATTAATTATGCTAGAGTATAAAATCTGCCGTAATATATTTTTATTTCAACATATTAAGGGGGTACAAATGTTTTTGTTACATGGATCACTTTTGTAATGCTTGAGTCATGGCTATAAGTGTGCCCATCACCCGAATAGTGTTCATTGTACCCATTCAGTAGTAGGTTTTTGCCCCTCTTTTTCCCTCCTCCCCCCACTTGATTTCCAGTGGGTTTTACTTCCCTCTGTCCATGTGTGCTCCTTGGTTAGTTCTTAATATTCTTTTAACATCACAGAAATACAAAGAAACTTATCTTGCGGACTGTAATTTTTAGTGTTGAAAATTGTCTGTAATATAATTTTTGTTTTATTTTTTGTGGGTTTTTTTTTTTTTTTTTAGACAAGGTCTCACTGTGTTGTCTGGGCTAGAGGGGTGGTGTCATCATAGCTCACTGCAGCCTCAAACTCCTGGGCCCAGGCTGTCCTCCTGCCTCAGCTTCCCTAGTAACTGGGACTACAGGTGTGAGTCACAATACCCAGCTAATTTTTTTTATTGTTTGCAGAGACATGATCTTGCTATGTTGCTTAGACTGGTCTCGAACTCCTGGCCTCAAGCAATCCTCCCATCTCAGCCTCCCAAAGTGGTAGGATTATAGGCATGAGCCACCACACCTGGCCTATTATACACTTGTAGCACTGAATGTAATTGAACATAGACTGTACTTTGCAGCATTTAGAACTGTCTTCTAGGCCTTAAATCTTTAAACTCTTCACCTCTTCTTGTCTCGTGCTTTGTTTTCGACCAGCAGTAGCCATGCCTTTATCTATGAGTCTATAAATTTAGCTAAGCACCTAGCATTCTATTTAGAAATGTGCTTAATTTAATTGTACACTTAATTCTTTAATGAAGTAGCTTTGTATCAAACTCTTTTGGAGATGCTGTTGAATTCTTTAACACTTTTTTTTATAACCTTCCCCTAAGGTATTCCCATCTGTCAGCAACACTTAATTTGGAATAACATGGAACTTGAAGATGATTATTGCTTGAATGATTACAAGTGAGTGTAATTGCATATAAGCTGTTTTATAGGCACTTACTGTAATAAGTTCATGTGTCAATATTTTTCTTCTAAATCCCTGGATCATGTCTCTTCTTCTTCTGACTAGTTCTGATTCTTAGACTTCATCATAAATCCAGAACTTCAGATGTATTAGCGTGGTATCATATGATCTGATCTTTGTCCTCTGATACTTTTGTTTTACCTTTTTATTTTTTATGCCAGACTGTTTATCCTCTGCCTTTTAAAAATCTTATTATCTTTTGCCTTTTTTGTCCTTTCTTTGAATATTGACCCATTCCCCCACCTGGCCATGTTCCTTTTCTTTCTGTTTTCACGAGAGTTTTGCATAAGAAAGAATTGCACTCCAGTGAGTCTTTCATTTCTCATTAAGTCCTCCCTTTTGTTACTAAGCCATGTGTGGGCACCAGTGGTTGCAAGCATACTTTCTGAGTTTTTGTCTTTTTTCCCCTTCTTTCACATAATTCATCACTCTTAACAAAAGAGGAAAAGTGTGAGGGGCAATTTGAAAAACTGGAAGAGCACTGGGAATTAGGAGAGCTTATAGTTTTGCCATTTTTCTGTGTTACATTTTATTATATAGACCTGCTGTTTTCTAACACTTTTGGTCTTGGGCAAGCCTCTTTTTCTTCTCTGGGCCTCCTGTACCTTATGTGTGAAATAAAAAGGCTAAACCCCATGATCACAGGGGGCTTTTCCAGTAATTTTATTCTGGGATTTCACATTGTATTTAAGGCTTATGAGAACCTTTTCACTTTTTTGTTATGTATACAAGTAAATACATTAACATTTTATATTTATTCACCTTGCTGTATCATTTTGCATTTTAGAGAGTGGGCATTATACCTGATAAACTAGGACATAATTATGTGTAGATTTAACACTGAATATATTTTTATGGTTATGGTTTATTTTTGTGTTAACTATCCACAGCATTTCAGAAGGTTGTACCTTGAAGCTGGTATTGGCTATGCGTGGTGGACCTATAAATACTAGACGAGGTAGGCATTGTGTACATTAAAGCAATTTGACAATGACATTCTTTAAGTCAGCATTTTTATATCCTCAGGTTTTATTCAGGCTCCCCTTCTGCTATTAGGTCTTAGAAGAATCACATTTGATTCTGTAGGAATTGTTCTTCAAAAAAATACATAGGGGTTCGAACTCTAAAATATATTCCAGAAAATCTGATGATTTCTGATTCAATCTAAGGAGATTTAAAAATAAACCTCACCAGCATAGGGAAGGGAAATGGAATGATATAGTATAAATATTATGGTATCATTGTGTTAAGATTCATAGCAGTGTTGTTGCTTTGTTTATTTACAAAACTTATTTATATAATTTTTGTTTTATTTTTTGTGGGTTTTTTTGAGACAGGGTCTTGCTGTGTTGCCTGGGCTAGAGTATAGTGGTGTCATCATAGCTCACTGTAACCTCAAATTCCTGGGCCCAGGCTGTCCTCCTGCCTCAGCTTCCCAAGTAGTTGGGACTACAGGTGCGAGCCACTGCACTCAGTAAATTTTTTTATCGTTTGTAGAGACATGGTCTTGCTATATTGCTTAGACTGGTCTCGAACTTGAACTTTACTCAGTTTTCAATACTTGGAATAATAATTGTTATGGAAAATTCCAGTGTTAGGTGTTTACCTGGTTTGTGATGCATCCAAATTTTATAATATTACTGTGGCCCTGTTGAATCCTTTCTCACAATGTGAGTGGTCTCTGAAGTCCATTCATTCATTCAATAAATACATACTGAACATCTACTAAATGATTGGTGCCATGTTCCAAGTGCTATAAACATGGGAGAGAAAGCCTGCTTCATGACACTGCGTACAATAAATTCGTAAAGAATTGATGTAATTTCAATTGGTTGTTAAGTGCTATTCAGCAAATAGAGTAACCGTGATCACACATCTGTGGAAGTAGAATAGTAGGAAGGGTCTTCAGAGAAGATGACATGAGTGGAGACTTGACTGACAAGAAGGTTCTAAGTACAGGAAGAGCTGGGAGTATTCACACTGGTCCCTGATTCACGTAGGTCACATGAATCCCTACCAAGTAGAGGTGACTACCCAGAACAGTCCTGCACTATGGACCTGATGGGGGAAGGCCTTCATATTTGTTTGATCTTTCTCTAACCAGAAAACTGAAGGTTAAGTATTGATTCCACTGCTGGCTTACTTCCACGTGTCAAATTATATCCCTGTGCTTCATATGCTTCATAATTTTGGTTAAAAATAGGATTATTACCATTTTTTTCCTTAGCAAACTCAAGAGGTGTCAGTGACATATGTTACTTTGGCTGTTGAACTGTTTTGCATAGATAGAGAAAACATAAGTAATGATGTTAGAGCTGATTTCCACTTCTGATATCAGGGACTTTCTATTAATTGGATTTATGAAATTGTCCTCTGTGACAAAAGATAATGTTTATAGTAATGACTCTGAGGGTAGTGTAAGAATCCTAAGTTTTTACTGAGCCATTATGTTAAGATAGAATTATGTAGTGTTAATGCCATGTGAATTCTACTGTATTATATTGTTGAAAGTTGGTCATTTGTGTGTAGTATAATACTGTTTTTAAATCGGAGTGTTTAATCAGAACACCTCCTTATTAAAACTAAAATTGTTTTAGATGTTTATGAGGAGTGTAAGTGCTACAGATTCTGAAATAAATATTATATATATGTATATTTTTTAAATTTTCTTTTTTTTAAAGGAAGATGAAAGGCTACCCTTTGGTAGTTGAAGCTTTGTAATAAAACTTTGTAGTAATATTTTCCTACAGTTTTCTGTGCCATGTTTGTGAACTGAAAAATCAGCAGCTAGAACTTGTCTGTTTTCTAATATTTTAAAATAAGTTTGAAATAATTTTGCCTTTATTGAATCAACATTTTTAAAACCAAAAGCTTGATATTGCCCACCTTGTGTCATTGAAATATTTGTGAAAAAGAAAAACTGAACCCAGATTTAGGACTTTTCCATATCATATTTGAAAAATTGTATATATATTTTTACCTATTTAGTCTTACTATTTCAGAATCATGGTTTAGAAAGCACCATGGGAGTTCCAGAAATATTTAGCTTTTAAATTTACTTTTGAAATAATTGTTTTCAAGGCAGCATAGACCCTTCCCACTATTCTAAAATTGTTGATTTTCTAAAGCTAAATTGTATCCTATGCGTTATATGCATCATTTTATAGCTGATAAAATCTAAAGGATTTTTCTGTTATGAAAAGAAGTGTTTGGATACAAAAATATAGTTAGAATGAACAATATTTGATAGCACAACAAAGTGACTATAATAAAAAATAAGTTAGGGTATTATTTAAAATAACTTACAGAGTGTAATTGGAATGTTCCTGACACAAAAAAATGATAAATGCCTGAGGTGATAGATACCCCAATTACCTTGATTTGATTAATTCACATTGTATGCCTGTATCAAAACATCACATGTACCCTATAAAGATATATAACTATTGTGTACCCATAATAATTAAAAATAGAAAAATTTTTTAAGAAGAAGTGTATACACTTACATGTGCACAGGCAATCCCAGTGATTCCCTGAGCGAGGCACCCTGTGCTGGTATAGGATAGGCTTTCATGTGGCTGCAGTAATGGCAGTAGCAACACCTGAAAAATCGGTATCATAATTTTTATTTCTTATTAATGTAGTGTGGAAAGTGGAGCATTAACTTAAGAAGGGCAAGAGCTTGTTTGAAAAGTATCTTTTAATATTTATATATTTTATGCCTGTGAAAGTCAGTCGAGGCTGGGCACGGTGGTGGCTCACACCTGTAATCCTAGCACTCTGGGAGGCTGAGGGGGGAGGATCGCTTGAGGTCAGGAGTTTGAGACCAGCCTGAGCAAGAATGAGACCTCGTCTCTACTAAAAATAGAAAAATTAGCTGAGCATCGTGGTGTGCATCTGTAGTCCCAGCTACTTGGAAGGGTGCTTGAGCCCAGGAATTTGAGGGTGCTGTGAACTAGGCTGACGTTATGGCACTCTGTCTCAAAAAAAAAAAAAAAAAATCAATCAAAGGTACAAATAATTTTCATAAAATAATCTCAATCATATTATATTTGTAAGATTTTTATGTTTTAGTAGTAGAGGTATTGAATTTAGGATATTATCTTTGATGTTTTTACTTCATTGCTTTCAGAGTTTAATATTTTCGTATTGCTGCAACTTCTTTTTAAAGGGTAGTACAGCACTGTGATTCTGTTAATAAATAAATGAAAGTTATGCAGCTTGGGAAATTGTTGCCTCTTTTAGAAGAGAACAGAAGTTTCTGCAGCATGACATAGGAATGTCTTTGGGAGAGAACTTTTTTTTTTTCCTGAAACTGTTACTTAGACCTCCAAGTCTGAGGTTCAGGGGCTTCTGGAACATTCTCCCTATGAGCCAGCAATCTTTTGAGGCCCATTCCCACCATAGGGTGGCTGTTGTACATGAAAGCAGATTGTAATGAAGGCTGCAGTATCATTCAAACCGAGAGCATCTTTGGACCACTGAAGCTTGCCAGTAGTGGGGGAGTTCAGAGTGACCCCAGTCAGCCTGTGTACCTCTTTGTGTTCTAACTGGACACATGAATACATACCAGGACAATTAGGGTACTAGGAGGATGCTTTTTTTTTTTTTTTTTAAATACTTGACATTTCGTTTTTATTGGAAATAATAAAATTATATGGAGTTGAGCTATTATACCAAATTTCTTTGCTATGGTGGTTAGAGTTTTAACAATCTTTTTTTTTTTTTTTTTATTTCGGCATATTATGGGGGTACAGATTTTAAGGTTTCAATAAATGCCCATTTCCCTCCCTCCCCCCAAAAGTCTGAGTCTCCATCATGACCATCCCCCAGATGGTGCACATCTCACTCCTTATGTATGTATATACCCGCCCCCCTCACACCTGCCCAATACCCTATTACTGTAGTACCTATGTGTCCACTTAGGTGCTACTCAGTTAATACCAGTTTGCTGGAGAATATATCTGGTGCTTGTTTCTCCATTCTTGGGATACTTCACTTAGTAGTATGGGTTCCAGCTCTAACCAGGAAAATATAAGATGTGCTATATCACCATTGTTTCTTACCACATTTTATTAATCCATTCTTGGATTGATGGGCACTTGGGCCGTTTCCACAGCCTTGCAATTATGAATTGTGCTGCTATAAACATTCGAGTGCAGGTGTCAGGAGGATGCTTTTAAGAAACAACATACTGACCATTTCACACTTTGCAGTGTTAATACACTAAGCAGCCCTTTGTGTTCTAGTTATTGTGTACTTTTAATTATTAAACTTCACATCAAGGAGCAGTTCTAAGAATCAGCCTTTATATAAACCAAAAAGAAAAAGAAAGGTTCACTTCTAATTTCTTACATATGTCTTCCAGTTCTGTATGTGTATATGGGTGTTTGTTTTTTAATCTAAAGTAAGGGGGATTTATGTTGCTTTTAATTATTGATTGTTAGAACCAATATTTGAAAATACAGGAAATAAAAGGTATACAATGAAAATAATCGTAGATAATAATGTCATAGAATCAGCAAATATACAGAATCTAGTCGGCCAGGAAAAAAACCCTCATGTTTTGCTTAAACCCTGTCTTTGAACATAGCAGCACAATAATACATTTCATTTCTCTCATATTGATACAACATAGGGAATGCTGTATTAACTATAAAAAGGTCAGAAACTTATTTGAAGAATATCGTGTATACTTTGTATGCACAGGGTGGTTGTTCAAATTCATCCTGTCACTATACCAAGGTGCATAAAACTTGATATAAATTGAAAGCTTGTTTCAATTTTTCTATTTGTAGTTCCTGTGGAAGATCCACTTAGGGAGATGGCTGAGTACCTGGATTCCAGTCGAGATGAGGTCTGGGAGAAGACCTCCTGCAACAAACAAATAACATTTTTGGTATATCGAGAAGGAGATCAATTGAATTTCTTTTGTGTAATAGATAGGGGAGATGGCACTTTAACACCATTATCTGAATCTTTAAGGTAAATTGGTTTTCATTTGCATGTCTCACTTAGAAAAAGAGAACATGATATGATATGCTCTGTAAACTTTCATGTTTACCTCATAGTGTCAAAATAATCCTAGTATGTTAATAAGACTGACTAAATTTCATGCATCTTGGCCGGGCGCGGTGGCTCACGCCTGTAATCCTAGCACTCTGGGAGGCTGAGGTGGGCAGATTGTTCGAGGTCAGGAGTTCAAAACCAGCCTGAGCAAGAGCGAGACCCTGTCTCTACTATAAATAGAAAGAAATTAACTGGCCAACTAATATGCATATAGAAAAAATTAGCCGGGCACGGTGGTGCAAGCCTGTAGTCCCAGCTACTCGAGAGGCTGAGGCAGTAGGGTCACTTGAGCCCAGGAGTTTGAGGTTGCTGTGAGCTAGGCTGACGCCTCGGCACTCACTCTAGCCTAGGCAACAAAGCGAGACTTTGTCTCAAAAAAATAAAAATAAAAAAAAGAAAAATTTCATGCATCTCTTTCCTATCCCACTCTCCCATCTGAAATTGTTCTTCATATGATTTATATGATGGGTAATTTCTAAAACAAGTTTCTTTACAGAATAGGATATTTCCATTAAAAAAAAAAAAGATTTGTTTCTGTTACCTTATGAAACCCTAAGATGACTATGAGATTGTAGAGTCTTGTTATAATAATGTGTTTTCAATACAACCTTGGCATGATAGAAAGGATGGCCCTAAAGTTGCTTTTCTCTAAATGTAACTTGCTTCTTAAAGGCTGATAAAGCTCTTTATTATGTGGTCTTATTTTCCTACTCTATGAAAGAGAAAGAAATTATAATATTACTTTTAAAATCAGAAAGAAAAACTCTACAGATATTTAGCTAATATAATATAAAAATTAGAGAATCAGACACGGTGACTTCCAAGTTTCCATGCATGCTGACTTACTATGATTCTCTACCTCCTTTCATGGGAGGTCATTAAACATTTACTGAACTTTTATTGCTGGTCACTAAGCCAGGTACTGGTGTGTTACTGGGATATAATGTTGGTAATTGTTGTAAAAAGATGTCAGAATCTCTGGGAAAACAGATGAGAGGGCTTCATTTTGCCCAAAAGGTAGAGAGTTAGAGACAACCTCTGAAAAGAAAACCTTAAAAGAGGAGTGGGGTAAGAGTTTGCCAGGCAGACAAAGAAAAGAAAGGTGTTACAGATAACTGAAGTCAATGCTGCAAAATAAAAAGCTAGTGGTAAAACTGTTCAAAGAAAAAACAACTTGTGTTTGGAGAACAGTTTCTGTGGGTCAGGAGTCTAGTCACAGTCTAGCTGGGTGCTGTGCTCAGGGTCCCATAGGCTGCAGTTCAGGGTGTCAGCAAGAGTGTGTTCCTATCTGGAGGGGAAGTTAATCCACTTTCCAGGTCATTCATGTTGGCGTAATTCATTTCCTTTCAGTTATATAAGAAGGGCCCCATTTTCTCATCAGCTGTTCAATAGAGGCTTCCCTCAGCTCCCTTTTGATTAACTCAGTCAGCTGCTTTGAGGCCTAAATTACATCTGCAAAGTCCCTTTACCTTTGCCATATTCAGTTGGCTAGAAGCAAGGCAGATGTCACGCCCATACCCAAGGGTGGAAGACCACAGGGTATATGAATACCAAGGGTTGGGACTCATTGAGATTCCCTTAGGATTCTGCCCATCACAGATTGTTATGCGTAAGAAAGATTAGACTCAATATTTGCGGCCACAGACAGCAGACTATGACAAATGGTTGCTGACTATTGGCTCCAACATGCCAGGGTCTGGTTTGTACTACAAATGTGGCATAAACGTGCAGGCTGGAAGTAGATAAGATGTAGCAATGAGGACTACTGCCTTGAATTAATAGGATTTCTTCACACCAGTTTCTCCACGTGCCTGTCACTGTTGTTAGTACACCTCTTTTGGCTGTCTTTTCCTAAAGGAGGACATCTAAGTTCCTTACCTTAGAATGTGAACCGCTTTACAGCTGTGATCATGGGTTTTCCAGGCCTTTTATCATGCCATGCTTTTAACCATCTTTTCCACTTTCTGTGAAATATCATTGCTTCCATTTTCTTCTTAGCCAGCTTCTGTTGTGTTTGTGACTTAGCCCAAATCTCATCATGGAGTTCAATTAAAATTGTCTTGTTCCTCTCAAGATACTTTTTGGATTATTTTTCTCTTCCTTTCTATTTACCTACCACAGTTGGACAAATAAAGGGATGGGATGAATGAGAAACGGAGGAGAAAACGATCTAGTTATACTGTAAAGGACCTTTATCTTACCTGTTCTGGAAGAGGCTTTTTCTTATTCTATAATAAGGAGCAGCAAATTTTTTCTGTGCAAATAGTAACAATTTGGGGATTTTCATGCTAAGAGACAGCATCAAGGATATTATGTAGGTACTTATATAATAAGAGAGAAAATATATTTCCACAAAAACTTTTACTGACAAAGTGCAAAATACAACAATTGTGAATTTTTTTCCTTTTCATAATACAAGTCTACTTATGAAAAGAATGGAGTTCTTTTTTTGTGTGTGTGGGAGTAGTAGTTTACCTAATTGAGGTTGAAGTTAGTGTTGCCTATCAAATTTGCAGATTCAGTCACAAAAGTTTACCTGTTAATGTTGATCTGTAATGAGATTTTATGTTCTTTATCTTTGAAATTTTTTCACACAGGTAAGTGCTGCCCTCCAGATCAGGGATATTAGTCTGTGAGCATATGATTTCAATGGCACGTATTCATCATATTGAAAGCCCTTTATAGAATTCTGTTAGGTATTCTCTTGCTGTTTGCCTTAGAAGCTCCTCAATTACATATTTAGATGGATTTTGAAATACAGAGATTTTCTTTGAATTTGCCCTGAGGTATAAAAACACTGCTAGAGGCTGGGCGCGGTGGCTCATGCCTGTAATCCTAGCACTCTGGGAGGCTGAAGTGGGCGGATTGCTGGAGGTCAGGAGTTCAAAACCAGCTTGAGCGAGACCCCGTCTCTACTAAAAATAGAAAGAAATTAATTGACCAACTAAAAAAAAATATATATATATATATACATATATACAAAAATTAGCCAGTCATGGTGGTGCATGCCTGTAGTCCCAGCTACTCAGGAGGCTGAGGCAGTAGGAGAGCCCAGGAGATTGAGGTTGCTGTGAGCTAGGCTGACGCCATGGCACTCACTCTAGCCTGGGCAACAAAGTGAGACTGTGTCTCAAAAAAATAAACAATAAAAAAAATAAAATAAAAACACTGCTCGACCTTGAGCTTGGAAATATATCTGCTGCCAATTTTTGTGGTAATGGAGATCTTGCTTCGTTTCAGCTTTTGAAAGCACGGAAGTATTGCAGCCTACCAATTATGTGTGATTCAGACACTAGTTGTCAAAATGACATTGCAGTATAAGTTTCACATATAAGCATTGTTTTGTCTTGTAATATTAGGTTGAATTTGTTAAGAAACATTAATAAGTCCACAGCAAAAACTTACTTCCATAGACTCAGTGTTCGATAATAGTGGTTGAGGGCAGCTCTTCTCATTCAAAATTTTTGAGCTAAAAAAATCATAAAACTTTATTACCTCTAAGCCATTAAACTGATGATGGATAAGTCCAGGAGACAGTTGAAGTTTACCACTGACACTACTGGCTCCATAATACGTGACAGATTCATATATTTACTGCAGAATACCTGCTGATGAATAATACAGCGAGTAACCGTGGGCTTTAAGCGCCTCACATGTTCTCTCGCTTTATCAAGTTTTCCAACTAAGTTTTTTTTCTGTTCCACACATATTATCACCCCACCAATTATAGCAGTTTTCACTTCAGTTTGTACTGAATTAGTGTTATAGCAACTTCTTTGAAAATATTAATATTCTCACGTTACAGTTTCATGCATATTGTTCATAGGGGCTAACTCTTCAGTCATTTCAAACTTGGTGTTGATGCCCTGAAAAAACAGTAACAACTGAGCAGTATCAGTAACATATGTCAACTCAGACATGTGCTGATGCCTAGACTACAGGAACCCACTGCTACATTTGACTGGCTTGAAAAAAAACAAAACAAAAACCAAGGAAAACGACTCAATCACTTGCCTTATTTTCTAATTGACTATTGATATTGCTTCTGATGTTGTCAGCTCTTTGAGAAATTGTTCTTGCTGGGAAAAGTAGTCTTTAAACAAGCTAATTTTCTCTGGACATACTTCTTCAACTGCTTTGATCAAACATGGTTGAATTAATTCAGTATTGATAAACAGCTTTTCTTGCTTGGCTAGGAAATAAGCCACTCAGAAACTTCTATGTATGTTGCCTCATTTTCATTTTTTATTTTTGTGAAGAAATTCTATAACATGCGATATTCCATTGTAAATCTTCTAATTTTTCTGATTATTGCATTCCTACAAGTTGGGAATATTGTGATGAGATGAGTGCTTATGCTGTTTTCCTTTAGCACAGCTGTGGTGTCATTGTATAATAAACATAATGCTTTACCATCTGATTTATAACAAATAATCTACTGTACCTTAGAATTACAACCTTTAAAGTCTACTTTTCTTGTTTTGACATGTTGGTTGTATGCTGGTACTTAAAAAAAAATGATACTATAGCAATACATGTGGCACTGAAAATGCTGTTGAATTAACTGTGTCACTATGATTTGTAGTTTGCCACCCCATAGTACAGAGCAGTGAGAGAGCCACATACAATTTCTGTCATAGCTACTCAACTCTGCCCTTGTAGGCAAAAGCAGTCATATGTAATATGTGCTCAAGGGAGTATGGCTATGTTCCAATGAAACTTTATTTATGGACACAAATTTCAATATCATTTAACTTCAATGTGTTATGAAATACTATTATTTTGATTTTGTTCCAGCTATTTAAGAGTGTGAAAAACCATTTTTAGCTTATGGGCCACACAAAAACAGGTGGCAGGACAGAGTTGACCCATGGCCATAGTTTGCTGACCCCATCTTTAAGAAGAAACAGGGAGAATTGGGTATTCATGTGATTCATTTGGATACAAAATCAATATCAGTCTTTTTTAGAATCAAATGTTTTCTTCTTTTTTTTTTTTTTACTTTTTATAGGTTCTTTTTCTGAGGAATTTAGTCTCAAATCTTTTTTGTAGATCATACCACCTTACTATTTTTATTAAGTAGGAAGAAATATTGCAAGACTTAATGGTAAATTGTCTGTGAAAGTCAAATGAGGTCTTTGCTTTGGTATGAAGACTTATGTTGAAATAAATATCACATTCACCTATCTCTTACACTTTAAGCATATTATTAAAAGATTTAAAGTTATATATATAGCACTCAAAATATTTAGAAATTCAAGAAAATATTAGAATAAATATTAAGAAAGATGTCTTTGGATTAAGCTTATAATTGTCATCTAGTCTAGTTAGATTTTTTTCATCTAAAATAATGTCATCCTAGTTTAGTTAGATTTTTTTCATCTAAAATAATTTTGTGATTGGCTTCTAACTGATCTCTGCTTTGAGAGAGAAAACACAATAATGTGGTTCTTTGAAGAATATTAGGTAAATTTAAAAGTGTTTTTATACTCTAAAATGCATCCAATGAAATATTTTCATGATTGTTCTTTTTACATATATATTCTATGGGAGAATAGATCTTTTCATGACTAAGGTTGAGCAGAAACTTCTTCCGGTATTCTTTAAAGGTATGTAAGTTAAAATGCCACAAGCTAACAGAGAAGTATTTAAAATTAAAATATCGCAAGGTAACCAAGAATAGAGTATACTTGAGTCATTCCTTCTAACTCCACAGGGTGAAATTATAAAAATCTTCATGCAACTTTCTTTTTCAGGTACTGTCTATTAATAGTTGACCTGAAGACAAAAGCCTTTGCACACTATAAGTTCTGTCACCCATTTGGGTGCACAAGCATGATGCAGTAAAGCTGTAATTTGGTGCCTGGGGAAGCAACAGAAAGTAGTAGAAAAAATCAGCTTTGGAACCAGACAAATGGGAGATTTGAATCTTAGGTCCATCATCTGCTGGCTTTCTGGTCTCGAGCCAAATCACTCAACCTTTCTCAACTGCAGTTTCTTCATTTATAAAATGAGATATAATATCTACCTTATGTAGTTTCATGAGGATTAGGAATAATGGGTGGGAAGTACCTGGCAGAGTAGGCATTCAGTAAGTGGTAGACAGTATTGTTACTTTAGTGTTGCACTTGTGTCAGTTTCATACCATATAGGCATTGGCAGTAGATAGCAGTGACAGTCATGAGTCCGGCACTACAGATTGAACTGGTTGTGGAGACAAGTTCCTGCATTCTTCCTTCTGATACACATGTCTGTGGTGCATGTAATTAACCCACAATTTTAAAATGTCATCCGTTTCACCATATAAAGTTTAGGAATGGAGCCATCTACTCTCTGTTCTGCTCTTGTTTGGTGGTAGTATATACTATAGAAGTGTTATGGAATATGCCCTAATAAGGCTGCCCTAAATTGTTTCCATTTCTTACAACTACATAGACTAGGAAATTTTATTAACCCTTATACTTGTGTAGCATAGCTAACATAATTTAGTTTTCCTTCAAGTAAATCAGAGACAGTGACTAATATGTGTTCTTATTCTGCTCTAGTTAAAGCTTTAGGCCGGGTGCGGTGGCTCACGCCTGTAATCCCAGCACTTTGGGAGGCCGAGGCGGGAGGATCGCTTGAGGCCAAGAGTTCGAGACAACCCTGGGTAACATGGCGAGACCCCGTCTCTACAAAAAATAAAATTTTAATAATTTTCCACATATGCTGAGCTTGCGTTTTTTTCAAATCCTTACCATTCTAATTTTCCCATGATTGAAAAGATCAATGGAATTTCAGTATGTTTGTGTTCAGCTAATCAAACAATTGGATATGTGTAAGCACTTTGTCCTGCATAAATACTAGGAAGATGAATAAAGTCTAATACCTGCTTTCAACTTGCTTACCCATGGGGGAGTAAGAGGGACAAACAGACACATAAGTGTAAATATGAGGGTAATATGATGTGTCATTGTATTATATGATCAAAGAGGAGGGGCTCCAAATATTAATTATTTTAAAATATAAATAAATGTCATGATGGTTGTTCAGTAACTGAAGCATTAATATAATTTGTCTCATGACTTGACTGGGTATATTTTTGCCATGGTGGTTACATTTTCAAACACACTTAGAAAAATTTTGTTATCCTGATTTTTTAAAATTTATTTTTGTTCTTTGAGAACAGAAAATGCTCTGATGACACCTGTTTATGAATTACTTTGTTTAGTGAGAATCCCCTCAGAATGAATAAAAATCTGTACTTCTGTGCCAGTTTTTTTTTTTATTTTATTTGGTTCATGAAAATCTGAGCCTGTTGAGGTTGCACAATCATCAGCATTGGCTGATAAAATGAAATCAGAACATTCTTGTAGAAATGGATTTTGCCTCTTTGGGAATTTATAGCAGGTGCCAAAAGATCTTCATTTATGATATACTGAATTTAAAGAAGTTCAGCTATACACTAGATCATGCTATGAATTCCCATTTAATTTTTTTATCCTAAGAAGTACATTTCTTGAAATATATTTCCCTTGCATTTACATTGACAAAAGAGATTTAGTGTTTTATTATTAACAACATCTATTGGTTGCTGTTGCACATAGAGTATTTTAGTTACTAAGCAAGTGTCAAGCAGATTTCAAGTAGTTACTGTTTTCTTTGCAGCGGTGGTTCTGTGTATAATTTATATACGGATGAGGATGAAGAAATTGAGCCTTCTCCTTCTGGACAACAGATAATTGAAAATTCAATAACTATGAATAAGATGAAGCTACTGAAGGCTAAGATGGGGAGCATGAATCTCAGCAAAAAGGTGAAGCTGTCGGCACTCGGCTAGGCATTTCTCTAGCTTACCCTGCAGGGCTCATGGTCTGTTGGTAATTGTGAAAAAAAATGTTCATAAAGTATTATTTCAATATTTTGGCATCAGTTATTTACTGAAGTATTAAAAGTGAAAATTGGTTTTTTTATAGGCTGGCAACACATCTGAAGGGATTATACTGCTCTTAAAATAATTCATGATTTTTAAAATTTAATAGCTCTGGAGCTAAGAAGGATAATAAAAGATAGATTAATCTTAATCTTGCAATAATTACTTTTAAATGATACAGTAATATTTACTTTATTATGGGTAAAAATATCTACTGTGTTTCACTTTAGGAGATGGTCAGTTTTCCAAACTAATTGAACTAATCAGCAGTGAGTGGGAGTTGTTTTCCCACATTTTTACCAGTATTTGGCATGGTCTTCTTTTTTTTTGCCATTCTGGTTGGTATGTAGTGGCATCACCCTGTGGTTTTAGTTTGCATTTCTATGATGACCAAGGAAGTTGAGCACCTTTCATATGTTTATTGGGCATTTGGATATCCTTTTTTGTAAAATATCTGTTCACATCTTTTGCCAATTTTTCTATTGGGTTGTATGATTTTTGTTATGGATTTTTTTTGAGGTTCTTTATATATTCTGGATGTAAGTCCTTTGTCTCAGGTATTTATATTGCCACTCTGTTGCTTTCCTTTTTACTCCTATTCATGGCTCCCCCTTTTTCATATATAATAAAATTCACAAATCTTTAATGTACCATTTGATGAATTTTTACGTTGATGTATACTCATGTAGACACACCCAAATTAAAATAGGACCTGTCTTTCACTACAGAAAGCTCCCTCATAATCTTTCCCAGTCAATCCCTGCCTTTTCCTACTCCCATAAATAACTACTATTCTTACATCTATTACCCCATAAATAATTTTTACCTCTTCTTGAAATTTATATAAATGAAATCATAAAAGAATGTACTCTTGTTTTGGTCTGGATTCTTTTACTCAGTATATTTTTTTTATCCATCTATGTTTTAGCAAGTATCAGTTATTCTTATTGTTGTATACTAATCTATATGGTTTAATTTGTTTCTCTCTTTTCCTTTTGATAGGCTTTCAGGTTGTTTCTAGCTTTTGGCTTTTATCAGTAAAGCTGCTTTGAACATTCGTTTACATTCTTTGATGGACATAGGAACTCTTTTCTTGGGAGTATATGCCTAGCAATGGACCTGCAGAATCATAGGGAAGATACATTTTTAACGTTAGTGGTGATGCCAGACAATTTTGCAAAGCTTTTGAACCAGTTTACACTCCCATCAGCAACAAGGGTTCTAATTTATGCCTTGTCCAATACTTGATATTGTCATTCCTTTTCATTTTAACCATTCTGGTGGCTGTGTAGTAGTTTTCCTTTTTGTTGCTCTAATGAAGAATAATGTTGATTTTTCATATGCTTCTTGGCAATTAAGATATTGTCTTTTGTGAAGTACCTGCTCAAGGCTTTTGCTCATTTATAATTGGATTATCTTTGGATTATTTGCCTTTTGCTTATTGATATGTAGGTATTTTTATAAACTATAGATACATGTTCTTTGTCAGATGTATGATTTTTTTTTTGTTTTTTTTTTTTGAGACTGAGTCTTACTCTGTTGCACTCACTAGAGTGAGTGCCTTGGCGGCGGCCTAACTCACAGCAGCCTCAAACTCCTGGGCTCAAGCAATCCTGCCTCAGCCTTGCGGGTAGCTGGGACTACAAGCATGGACTAAAACGAAATTGACAACAGGGAAACTACACGGAAGATAATAAAAAAAAGTTGTTCTTTGAAAAAATGAACAAAATTGACACACCGTTGGCTAGACTAACAAAAAGCAGAAAATAAAAATCTCTAATAGGCTCCATCAGGAACAACAAAGGATTACAACTGATGCACAGAAATACAAGATATAATATATGAATTTTACAAAAACCTCTATGCACACAAACTGGAAAATGTGGAGGAAATGGACAATATCATAGAAATACACAGCCTCCCTAGGCTCAACCAGAAAGAAATAGAATTCTGAACAGACCAATATCAAGTACTGAAATTGAAACAGCAATAAAATACCTTCCTAAAAAGAAAAGTCCTGGACCAGATGGTTTCACACCTGAATTTTACCACACCGACAAAGAGAACTGGTGCCTATCCTGCAAAAATTATTCCACAACGTCGAGAAGTAGGGAATTCTCCCAAACATTTTTATGAAGCGAATATAACCCTGAACCAAAACCGGTAAAGATGCAACAAAAAAAGAAAACTATAGACCAATATCCCTTATGAATATAGATGCAAAAATTCTCAACAAAATGCTAGCCTATCGAATCCAGGTGCTTGTCAAGAAAATAATTCATCACAACCAAGTGGGCTTCATCCCAGGGATGCAGGGATGGTTCAACATATGCAAATCTATAAATGTAATTCACCATATAAACAGAAGCAAAAACAAAGACCATAGGATCCTCTCAATAGATGCAGAGAAAGCATTTGACAAAATCCAACACCCTTTTATGATTAGAATGCTCAACAGAATAGGCATAGACGGGGCTTACCTAAAAATGACACAAGCCATATATAACAAACCCACAGCCACCATCAGACTGAATGGGGAAAATCGAAAGCATTCCCACTTAGAACTGGAACAAGACAAGGTTGCCCACTATCTCCACTTCTGTTCAACATAGTGCTGGAAGTCTTTGCTACAGCAATCAGACAAGAGACCAGACTTAAGGGCGTCCAAATGGAAGCAGAAGAGATCAAACTCTCACTCTTTGCTGATGACATGATATTATACCTAGAAAACCCCAAGGATTCAACCAAGAGACTCCTTGATCTGATAAATGAATTTAGTAAAGTGTCAGGATATAAATTCAATACACAGAAATCAGAGGCATTCGTATACACCGAACAACAGTAAAAGTGAGAACCAAATCAAAGACTCAATCCCTTCAAAATAGCAACAAGAAAAAAAGTACTTGGAATATAGTTTAACTAAGGAGTAAAAGACCTCTACAGGGAAAACTATGAAACACTGAAGAAGGAAATAGCAGAGGATGTAAACAGATGAAAGAATATACTGTGCTCATGGGTCGGCAGAATCAACATTGTTAAAATGTCTATGCTACCCAAAATTACCTACAGAGTCAACGCAATCCCTATCAAAATACCATCATCATTTTTCACAGATATACAAAAAATAATTTTACGCTTCGTATGGAACCAGAGAAGACCCGTATAGCAAAATCATCCTAGGCAATAAACAAAATAGGCGGTATCCAATTTACCAGAACTTCAAACTATACTAGAAGGCTATAGTCATTAACACAGCTTTTACTGGCACAAGAACAGGGACATTGACCGTGGAGACAGAACAGAGAACCCAGATATAAAGCCATCCTCTATAGCCAACTAATCTTCGACAAAGCAGACAAACATACACCGGGGAAAAGAATCCTTATTCCAATAAATGGTGCTGGGAAAACTGGATAGCCACATGTAGAAGACTGCAACACCCACACCTTTCACCTCTCACAAAAATCACACTCACGCTGGGAACAGACTTGAACCTTAGGTGTGAAACTATTAGAATTCTAGAGGAAATGTTGGAAATATCTTCTAGACATTGGCCTAGCAAATAATTATGAAGAAGACCCAAAGGCAATCACAACAGCAACAAAAAAACAAATGGGAACTAATGAAATTAAAGCTTCTGCACAGCCAAAGAAACTGTCAAGAGAGCAAACAGACAATCCACAGAATGGGAGAAAATTTTTGCAAGCTATACATCTGATAAAGGGCTGATAACTAGAATCTATTTAGAACTCAGGAAAATCAGCAAGAAAAAATCAAATAGCCCTATCAAAAAATGGGCAAAGGACATTAACAGAAACTTCTCAAAAGAAGACAGAATAATGGTCAGCAAGCATATGAAAAAATGTTCAACATCTCTAATCAACAGGGAAATGCAAATCAAAACCACAATGAGATATCACTTAACTCCAGTGAAAATGGCCTTTATCAAAAAGTCTCCAAACAATAAATGCTGGCGTGAATGCGGAGAGAGAGGAACACTCCTACACTGCTGGTGGGACTGCAAACTAGTTCAACCTCTGTGGAAAGCATTATGGAGATACCGCAAAGCAATACAAGTAGTTCTACCATTTGATCCAGCAATTTCACTACTGAGCATCTACCCAAACGATCAAGCCACGTTATGAAAAAGACACCTGCACTTGAATGTTTATAGCAGCACAATCCACAATTGCAAAGCTATGGAAACAACCCAAATGCCCGTCAATTTATGAGTGGATTAATAAAATATGGTATATGTATACCATGGAGTACTATTCAGCTTTAAGAAACAACGGTGATATAGCACCTCTTGTATACTCCTGGATAAAGCTGGAACCCATTCTACTAAGCAAAGTATCTCAAGAATGGAAAAACCAGCACCACATGTAGTCACCAGCAAATTGGTATTAACGCATCAACACCTAAGTGGACATATAGGAATAACATTTACCAGGTGTTGGGAGGGTGGGAAGGGGAGGAGGGGATGGATGTATACAACCACAACAAGTAAGATGTGCAACGTTTGGGGGATGGACATGCTTGAAGCTCTTACTCGAGGGGGTAGTGGGGAATGGGCAATATAAGTAACCTTAACACTTGTACCCCCATAATTCGCTAAAATAAAATTTAAAAAATTAAAAAAAAGAAAACGTGGAGTTGAACCTAGCCACACCACATGCATAGAGATAAACAGGCCCACATAAAGAAAAAAAAATCATGACAATTCTCATTTTCTTTTTCTGTTTCTCTGTGTCTCAATCTCTCTCTCTAACACACATACATACACATATATACACACTAACAGTAGACAGTACATACATAGCTCAATGGGACAGGAAATACTTCTTGTGGAATCAATTTCTGAATCAATAAAAACAGTTTTA